TTTTTTTTCCATCTTTTCGCAGCTCTTTTTTTTATTCTTAATTTAGAAACAGTTTTTTTTTTTTTTGCTTTACCAACGTCATTAAGTTTTTAATTCTCTTTTTGATTTTATAACGATGGAGAAAGTGTAATGTGATTGATGCTTTTATTAAAGCGCATAAATTTATAAATTAGTATTGATATATGGTTGGTAGCCTTTTAAACGTTATACAGCGTTAGGTTTGCATTGGTATATAAAGAGTTGGACTATTTGTCTTTTCTTATAAAAAAGAAAAGTTAATTATTAATTACTATTGACATTTGACTGGAAGTATATTTAATATGAGTGGGTTTCAATTTTTATGAAATATTTTTCTTTATTTTAAAAAAGAAAAATTTAATTATATTCATTTTAATGCATAACTTCAATTATTTAAAAAGTTTTGTAATTAGAAATTCCATGTATAAATTTAATCTATTTTTAAATTTTATAATAATAAAAAAAATGTAATGTCATAGATGATTTTATTTAATTTTGAAAATAGTATTAAGATACATGCAAAGTAAATTTTTTTTCAATCTTAAAACTTCAAAGAATTTTGTTTAATTTATGATAGGAAACATATGCACTAAGTTAATGCATAAATTGAAATATTTATTGATTTTTAATAATTTTAAAAGGAAAATAATAATTTTTGTATTTTTAATCAAATATTTGCTTTTGATGCTATTCTAATGAAACACGCAACATAATCGTGTAAATAAGGATTTCTATTAAAAAGTGTTGATTTAACTCCTTCATTATTTCAATTTGTTTTTTGTCTTCATTCAGTTCTTTTCACTATAATTTTCGAACATAAATACATTTATTGCGAAGAGTATTCAATTTTAACAAAGTTTGTTCCTCTGCCGTTCTTAAAAAAGTAAAGCACCACGAAAAAGTAAAATTTTCCCACTAAATCGTATATTCCATTCATTAACATAATTACTCATAATTTAAGAATAAAATTGAAGTTAAACATTGAATAAAACACAAATTCCTTTAGTCTTAAAAGTTAGTGTAGTGGGAATCACACATAAGCATAATTAGAATACATTGTTTATTGATATGTTAATTACTTTTGCGCCGCTCTTAATAATTCTTATTTAAATAAGAAATGAAATATTTATGACATACGAAGTTAAGTAATTTAAATGAATTTTGCAGTCATCTGTTTAAAATATTTTATTCCGGATAAAAATTGCTTTTTCAAATGTATCATTTAAAAGTAAATCTATTACAAATTAAAAAATAATAACGTTAAGTAACAATAAAATCCGGAATAGGAAATGTATGATTTTAAAGCGGAATCAACAAACATGAAAAAATTAGAAACTGTAGTCAATAGCATTAATGCAAATGTAGTAAAATGTGATATCATAACTAAGTTTGTTTGTGTTTTCGCAATTATTAGCTTGTTGTCGGAATATATAAATGCAAATAATAAAAACATAGGAAATTATTATTGTGTAGAAAAGTAATAAATATATGTAAAAATGACTAAAACAAAATGGTGCCGAGTTTTTCTTGTATTTTCAAAAAAAAAAAATTTATCACTCGAAAATATGAAGTAAAATTTATAAAACAAATATATTTGTGCCTATTTGAAAAATAAATAAATAAAAAATAAACGTCAAAAGCGTTGGGAAAAAAAAGGTAATACCCATTTGAAAAATGCAAAAAAAAAAAGTTTTATTTTTTTAACCTATGCAAAAGACGTTGCTAAATGAATTTTAGGATTTTCTTGATTTTTTTTCTTTATGTTATTTGTATCATTTATTTCATAAACATATACAATAATGATGCATGAAGTCGGTATTTTTAAACTGTCTACGAAGACTTAAAGGAAATGCTATGAAAAATTTCTTCTTCTGTAATTGTCTTACAACATCGTCTTTCAAGAGTTATCCTTAAAGATTAAAAGATGTGGGAAGCAAAATGGAAAGAAAAAATTTTTTTTCAATAAACGACTTTGGGGGAAAAAAACTGGTATTATCTATTCTTAGAAAAATGATATTTTTTAAGTTTGTAGAAGAATTTAGCTTGAGGCTATTTTGCCCTCTCACTTCATAAGTAAACGAAAAGCAATTGAATAGTTTAAAAGGAAATCAGTAGCGAAATTAAACAAAATTGAACAAGTGGATATATTTTTTATGGTCGCAGTGATTCAGAAAACAGAAAAACCCTCTTTGGGAAAAAAAAGAAAAAAAACTTGTAAGTTACCGTTTCGTGGGAATGTTGTTAAAACGAAACTTTAAAAGATGAATTTCAGAAAAATTTCGAAAGCCTCACTGTTGATTTTGTTAGGAAAATGTAACCCTAAGTTTTCTATTTGAAATCTACATAAAAGATCAAAGAGAAAATATTCAATGAGATTTTTAAAATAATTTTAAAAGAAGCAGTAAATAATCTTGGAGTATTTTACATTAACTCGTTGCCAATCCTGTTTTTATAATAACGTTAAAGTCAAATTTCGTTTATATGAAATATAACAGCATGAGGCTGGGGAAACTGGGATTGGGTATTAAATTCATAAAATAAATGCGTTGCACTATTAAAGGTAAAGAGATTCATCATGGAGCGTAAGATAGAATGTCAATTTTGGAAAATTTAGAATTTTGAAAATTGAAATTTGGAAAATTGCTACGAAGATTTTCGGAGATTTTATTTTGTAATTAGAAAATTTAAGAAAAGTTCTTAATTGACTGAAATTGGCATAAAATAATATGTTTCTTAATACGAACTTCATCGAAATTTTAGACTTTAATGAGTGATTTTTTTAAAGAATTACTGTTCTAAAATAAATATGACAGTTTCCCCTCTGCTTCTTAAAGGGTGATTTTTTTTTTAAATGAAATTTCGGTTAGATAGTAAAATCACTAAAATAGGACTGTAGAGTTTCCTTCAAAAAATTTAGCAAATAATTTACCAACAAATTATTCAGGTGAATACATTGGATACAAAACCTGAAAAAACGGAATCAATAAATTGAGTGTTGAATATTTCATGAACTCATTTGGTAAAAGAAAAATTTACAGTATTACAAAAAAGACCGTTGAAATGTACCAAAAAGAATGGATTTAACAGAATGATAAAGTTTCCACCCGGTTTATTGTAAATCTCGACAAAATATCATCCAGAGGAATTGTAACACAAATGGAACTACAGAAATGTGTCCAATATATGCAATCAGGACAGAAGAGCCATGGGCACAGCTGAAGAAAAGAACTTTTCCTGATGGTAAATGGGGGAGCATAGCACTTTTTNTTTTTTTTTTTTTTTTTTTTTTTTTTTTTTTTTGTTAAGGGGATGACTACTGTCCATAGTGTTCAGGGAAGACCATGTATTGCATAGTCAAGGGAGTGGGGTGTTGCCATGGTGATTTTCGAGTGACGTCATACAGGAAACATGACTTCGTTGAACAACGATTTTGGAGCATCACTATGCATGGAATCAGGGAACGACATCAAATTTATTGTAGAAATCCGAAGACACTTGTCTCATCACTGAGAATGAACTCATGAGATTCCATCGTAACCCCCAAGTGGCCAGTTCTAACCATGTGGATTTTCATAACAATGTTTAATGATAGCGCACAGAAAAGCGAATTTGTCATTGCGTGTATTTATCAAAAGACACCAGAGAAATGGTGGTTCCTTAAAATTTTTAAATAAGACATCTGCTATGATTAGGGCGATTTTGTGCTTTTATTTTTATGAACAACTACTATTCAGGCATGAGAGCAGGAAAAACTCAAATCATGAAAAAATAAATAAAAACAGCAAGAGAAACTTTTCAGCACAAAAAGAAAACACTACATTACTTACATACTTATTTATTTATTTATTTTACTACATGTGTGCATTGTCAGTCCAACAAACTGTTAAATTTTATCTCTAAATCATGATTAATGATGAATAAAATAATAAAAAAAGTTTAGAAAATTAATTTTTTCTAAGTTTTAGAAGATCAGAAATTCCATCAAACGTCGGACTAATCATATGACTGACTGCAAACACATAGAGCAACTTTTAATTTCTACCCTAGGTACCCTTTTTTGCCTTATTAAACAATAATATTAACCATTTTATTATTTAAAATCAATGACATATTTTTACTATAGTTGAAACGGAAAAGAAATGGTTATAATACTATTTTCAAGAGTCGTCTAAGCTTAAACAGTCACAATAAGCCTATACTAGACACATCCAATCAACGTATTAAGAAAAAAATAGTTCAGACATTTTTCAAAAGGTATACGATCCCCTTGTAGCAGCAATAAGAGAACATTAACAAGAGAGCGCGGACTGCATTGAACAGCTCAATATTATGACCGCTAAATTTAATAAAGGTCCGCTACCACCGGGGGATAGAATAAGATAACAACTCAGATAGAAAAGGTGGCTGTCCCTTCTTGTCTCAATTGCCACAAAGTATATCTTTTTTTTTCTTCTTTTAGTGCCCATTTTTTTAAATTCACAAATCGAAAGACAATGCATACAAAAGAAGTTTTTGCCTAAGTTCAGAGGGCAAATCCCGTTTTATTAGCATTTAAGTAAAAATATCCTTTTGAAGAAGTTTCTTTTTAAACAACAATTACGTAAAATACAAAAGGTTTTGAAACGAAAGTATCGTATTGAATAAAAATGAATCAATACGTTTCATTTAACGTTCGACTTATATAAATTAGTGTATATAACCTTTAACTAATGAATTTAACGGTAACGAAAATCAACAGTTACCGACAATATTCGAGCTATTTTTAGCATAAATTTAAATCAGTATCAAATAAATATACCGACAGAATAACAATTTAAAGCTTCGCAAAGTTTGACATCAGTTCATTTGGAAAGGATAAACAGTCGATATAATAAATGTATTAGACATACAAGCAAATAAGTTCAATCAACACATTTTACTTGAATAGTTAAATTTTATGCGTTGATTTGTCACTTGGTAAGACCATATAAAAGGAAACTTACCTGAGGGCACATTTTGCACTGGTACTTCCTGCCAGTGCCATTGGTGGCCACCCCTGATGGTGCTCCAGGACCCTTGGTAGCGGCGCTAATGGGTTGAGGCACCACTAGCATAGATCCGCTGGAGCTTGGGGTGGACACTGGTGGGCTCCCACTACTGGTACTGTTCGCCCTATTTCCGTGGGTACCATAGAGACTGTGCATTTGCGAGGAGTCCATTCCTCCACCTCCTCGACCTTCCTCCAGGCTGCCGCCAGGGCCTAAAAGCACATAAACAGACAATTATTACATTTGTCAACAAGTCAAAATTATCAATTAGTCTTGTTGAAAGGATCAATTTAATTGCGGTGGCTGCCTAGGTGAAACATAATTGGCAATGAAATTTACCGCGTTAGGTAAAGTGAGACAAGGGTTATAGCCTTTAAGTATTTAGTTTTGCAGTTTGTAAGAATGCATTTATCTCAAATTTTGTTATTAAAGAAACTATAATGATTGAGATTAAATATTCGTCAAAACGATTAATAGTAATGATATTTTTAAAAAAAATTACATTATTCAAGGAATTTATAGTGGAGAGTGCATAAGTTTCCAACCAGTATATTGCTATTTTAATTATGTTACAGAAAACTAATAATAATAAAGAAAGAAAGAGAGAAAATTATTTGTCTTTGAAAACAGTCGTACATTTTCTGTATAAAACTATTTTTATAGGAATCTTTAGAAAGATTTGTGTATATTTTTTAAATTATATGCATAAACTTGAGCAGTTTGCTCGCTCTAGTAAATAAGCAGTAATAAAATAAAGATAACGCAAACCAATTAAAATTAAACAGACAACTGCTTTTAAATTTTAAAAAAAAGTGGAAAATCTAAAATAAAGAAATGAATATTGCAGTTTTATTGAAGGATAAACAACGTTTAAATCTTTTACTGAGACATGGTTTCCCAGCGTAAACTGGTTTCCACCTTTACAAGTCAAAGAAAAAACGGTGCGCGGGGGAAAAGATCACTCATGGGTGAAGCAGGCAAGCGGTATTTCAGGGTTTATAAATGAAGCTGCAGGGAAAGTGACCTTAGTCTAGATCAACAATTCTTATGTTTAAAGGGAATTCACAAAACGAATTTTTGTTATCAAAATGTTAACGAAATTACACCATCAAGTTTATGAAATGCTATGTTAAAATAACGTAAAAATCATTATTAAGCTTCTAATCAAATTAACAATATCGTGAAAATCAATTTAACGAAAAATATTTTTAGTATCTATTATTTCGACATTTTTACTATTTATAAGTTCATAAAGGGAAAAATATACACTGCACTTGAAACAAAAGAAACCATTGAGGTTAATTTATGAAATGCACGTTATTAAAATTAGATTATTTTTCAAATTTTCATTATTAGTAAAAATAATATAAATAATTAATATTTATAACGTTTTAAAAATAAACTTAAGTACACAGCTTTTTTACGATATATTTTTATCCATAAAATTAAATGTATATTATGTATTGTACTTCAAACAAAAGTGATGGTTGATTTAAATTAATAAAATAAGAGTAATTAAAGTTAATGTGAAAATGCTTCAGGCATAAGTATAACTAAATATTAAACCAGAATAAGAGTATTATAATTAAATGATAATTATATCACTTAATTATTTTGCTCCTATTCCGAATAATAATTTAAATAACATTTGCAAGTCAATTCTTACAATATGTTTTAGTGTAGTATAAAATCATAACATAATGTATTTTAAAATAAAGCGGTTGTTACTATATGTTTACAAACTATTTATTAAACCAAGGTCAAAATAATTAGACCTAGACCTGTCAATATTTATTTAATCTTAATTTGTTAAAACTAATCAGAACTGAATATAAAAAGATACAAATGCATAATTTCAAAGCGACAAAAATCAAAACTAAACGATTATTCATCTTTTAAAAAAATTGTAAAACAGAAAAAAATGATGTTCTTTAAATAGGAAAAAAAGAAAAATCGTCCTCAGGAGAAACAATAACCAATTTCATTTGCACCATATTTACACCCCATTAAGAACCACGGAGCCTCTTTATTCCGTTTTCTCTGACGAACATCCCCTATCCTTTAGATCCGACGATGCAAAAAAGACCAACCGCTGAGATTCCGTCATAGTGGCAATTGAATCTCCCCTACTCTACCAAAAAACCAAACAAAATAAATAAAAAGAGAAAGGGATAAAAATAAAAGAAGAAATGTTAAGATCCCTTCTATTAAATTTGCTCAATAGGATAACAATTCAACTCGCGGGGTCGTTTAAATTTGAAGAAGCGATGCTTTTCTTGTTTCATGCATCATTGAGTACCAGATGAAGAATCTTTCCCCGTCAGCTTTCTTACATCGCATTTTAAACTTGTCAATATTTATTTCACTTTAAGTCGATTCTTTCTGCCGTAGGATAAGTTCTTACGCTAAAAGAATTCGTGTTTACTGGAAAGTCGATATTGTAAGGGTTAAACAACTCTTTACTGAAGGCAATTTCTTTTTAAATGTGTTTTAATACCCGAAATGGATTGGGTGATATTAAGACTTCTACTAGGCTTACTTACTGTAATTGAAGATGTTTTACCAAGGAATATTAAAGGGAAAGAATCATTTTAAATTTATCAAGTATAAATTTTCTTTTTCAGTTACGTGAATATTTCATATTACCCCAAATACAAGGCTTTAATAAATAATTTTCATATTATTGTAATACTCATTCACATATAGATAATTGTATTATGATAGAGCTTAGCTGCGCATTCATTTATGTGCTTGCTATTGCTTGGGGATATTATTCATTCCTTTTATTGTTTGAAAAAAAACTTTATACAAGGCTTTTGGGAAACTTTGTATATGCATAAGACTATAGAAAAAGCAAGCTAAAAAAATATTTTTAATATAATTAATAACTTAAAATAATCTTTCAAACAAGTTGAAATTTAAAACTTATTTTATATATTTTTCCAATAGGATATCAATCAAGCTTTTAACCGAATCGTTTTTAATTAAGTGTTTCACTGAAAATTATTACATGATTAAAAATTATTATTATTGTTTTTATTTTAAAGCTTAAAACTAGTTCCTTTAGAAAATCGATCAAAATAAGTTTTTAATTTTGATACATTACAAATAAAATATGCACTTAAAACCAAATAGGACGTGTTTTTATGAATTTTTACTGTAGAATTAATTTTTCATAGTACATATTAAAAGCAAAATTTCCAACTTAATGTAATTTAACGTAAATATTCAAGCATTACTTTTAATTATAAACTAAACTCAGTGGCGCAACAGTTCATAGAGGGCCAAGGCCTACTGTGTCCATCTATGTTTTCTTGACTTATGGCTCTGGGATGCAGAAGCAAATGTTCCGGTTAGGTAGTCAGCCGGAACCCCCAGTGTTTAGTCCCCAAGCATGTTTGGTACTCATTTTATAGACCCACTGAGACAACCTTGTTCGGCCCGAGGAATGAACCCGGGACCTCTACTACCGGACGTCTACTTTTAATTATAGATACACATTATAAATTTTAAAAACAATTACCATCGTAACGAATCGATACAACTTTATTTTCCCCTGACAACCTTCATTAGCATATTTTTTTCTGAATACAACTTGTATAAATAAATATCCAATAAAAAATTTAACACTTTTTAAGTTCATGGATTTTAAGTAAAATAATATACATAGAATGTGATGTCAAAATAAAATTTTAAAAAGTGAGGAGGAATAAATAAATTAACAAATCTATGGCCTTAGGAATTTGTTTCTTATAAAAGTATTCCTTATAACAATTCATAATTGTAAATTAGCTTTATTATTTCTTTGCTTTCAATAAAAACAAAGAAAACTCCTTTTGTAAGAAATAAATATACAATGATATCACGATAGTTAGAGCTCAAAATTATGTATTAGAAACTCAGTTAATCCACTAGTAAATTAGTTAAATAAACTCTAACATATATCATTAAAATTTTTCATACTTAATGGAATTATCTTGTAAAAGTTAAAGTTAATTTGGCTGAATTAATGCTTTTATAACAGAAAACAATAAACATAATTGGTCAATAGAAATGAGAAACTTTAATCAAAAATATTTGAAACTTAAAATATTTGATGAAAAATTAATGATTAATATGACATCGAGTTTGAAATCGCGAAGAATTTTGCTTTTTAATCACAATCGATTAGCAAAATAAGTTAAAGTTATTTTACACAACATTTAAACATCGAAAAAAAAAACATTAAATTTTTTTTGTCGGGTGATATCTTATGTCTGAAAGCTAATGCAACCGAAAATTTCTGCAATCTGCAGCATTTTTTAGTTCATTTCATTTTTATTTAACAAATGTTTTTTTTCTTTTTTCTCTTTAAGAATCCCTTTCCCCGATACCTTCAAAACTTTCTTCGGGTGATTAAAAAGAGGAAGACACTTATTCAAATCCCTTTCCGTTAAGCATGTGGCTCAAAAAGCACCCTAAGGTAAGAGACCAGATTTAAAACATGGATTTGCAAAATTAAAAGTAATTAAAGTAACGGAAGACGATGAAGGGTTGAAAAAAAAATCTAGGGAGGGGAGATGGTTAAAAAAATCCGTCTCAAATCCAGGAAATAAATAAAGTTAATTCAGCTTGATGTTCGTAAAGAAGGAAAATACTAGAGGCTGAGAGAATGTCAGTGTAATTACAGTTTAGGTCTAGGTGTACTAGGCGATAATTTATCTTGTAGATTACTGTAATTGAACGGGCTTCGAACAAGCCGAGATGCGCCACTACAGAAAGAGCGCAGCAAAATCAATAGATCATAATTCATTTAAAACGCGCGGCGACCACTAATTATAAACATATAAATCATTAGGAAAAGTGGAAGCCCCGCACTTAATCCACGTCAATCCAACACTTTCTCTATGCATAGGATAAACTGCTTTTCCATTTTCATACATAAATACATAGTATCCCCAAATGGCTACGATGACATGGAGGAGGATTTGTTGTAAGGATTTTTGGAGCATTTTCGTTTGAGGTCATTCCAATTGCTTGTTATTGTTTAATGTTCAATTTCACACCAGCTATTTAAAGAACGAAATACAAGGAAAATGGTATAACTTACAAGTAAATAAATAAGTATTATTAGTACATAAATAAGCTGAAAACATTACTTCGTAAGCGTTTGCATGTGTTGAGTGGATGTTTTAAAAATATAATGCACATTAAATAAGAAATTTCACTAATT